GTTAGATTGGAATCGGCTAAATCGAGGATATACTGTACCTTCCTCCAAATTTCCCCAGCTCTTCAAGCCATTATGGAAACAATGGAAGTCGGCATAAAAACGAAGTGCCGAGTTCTGTAGTTCACCATACGCTCCATCGTCCTCCGTGGAGCTAAGAGCTTAGTCATAAGAGTAAAAGACGTGAGAAAATTCATTCAGAGTCATTTGACTATTGGTATTCACGAATCATCGCTTACAGACGATTTACTGACCATTCAATGCCACAATCCCTACTCGTTGCAAAGTCATCTAGCTCTCGACGGTGCCAAAAGTAAGGCGACTGCATTGGCTGGGGCACAGACTGAGAAGCATTATAAACGCCACCCCAATCCTGGGATCGCGTTGGAAAAGAAGTGGAAGGTGACGCTGAAATCCCCTCTGGTAAGAGTACGTACGATGGAAAAAAGACAGGCTGAACTTTGTAGCGTACAAAAGTACAAAAGGATCCATTAGGTGATAAGCAGATCCAGATGTTATGAATATTTCTCGCGAGCCTTTTAGAAGGTTAGTTGGTTGGCTGTCTGTAGCAAGTGATCACGTGGGTTCGCTGCAACGTTGGTATTGGTCGATCACGCAGTAGAACGTTACGCTGCGGTATGAAAAATTAGCAGTCTTGAGCTGACTTTAGCATGACTGTCAGCGCATTAATCAAATATTCCAATATGAAGACTAGAAATTATTGCATAACGGTAAAGAAATCATTCTCGGAAACTATTTGGGCAATATGAAACTGACGATGACATAAGCACAAATAGAAACATAAATAAGTTCAACAATAAAAGAGCAGATGGATCCGTACTCAGATTCGAGACATTTTACTATTCTACGGCTTGGTGTTAAAGTAAGCAGACTTCTCTTCTCCTTGCTGAGTCGAATCAGGCACAAAAAATATACACAAGAGGAACACCAACGTCCAGTTCGTCATCCAAAAACACATCTGATGATCAGATAGTCAAATTATCCATTCACGGGCAACGACGGAGGCAGATAACGGAGAACCGACAAAGTTGGATAAGCATCGATGGCGCCTCCATAACGAGGAAAAATTGGATAATGAATAACCGACAACTCCAGCCTTCCAGGATAACTACCATAAATGGTACCTTTAGAATTCCCCCGGTAAATATTACATTTCAATTGTTACTAGGAAGAAGTTCGTATTGTTCCGTCAGAAAAATCTGTTGCATCAAGAATGCACTTAATGTTAAGGTATGCTCATAGCCTTCTATAACTACCGAGCTCATTTAAGGAAGCAAGCAAACGAAGAGGATGGTAATTACTACCGAAACACTCCTCTTTTGTTTTTCTGGTATCATTCTAATTGGCAAGGGAAGTGACGAAACAGTACGAATCCCATATTCACATTTAGAGGAGCAGATTTCTTTACACTGCTTCAAATAACACGATACAGCAAAAAACGGACCACATTGACCGATACCCAGAAATGAGAAATGAAACGACGGTATTAAATATCTGCCGTTATTGTTAGAGAAGAGACTTTCATGCTGAAGTAAAGTATCATTGAGATGTGTTTTACAGAAGATGATGCTGTAAGACTCTTTCTCTGTTTACAGTCGAAGTCCGTACTACAGGTGAAGTAACGAGAGCAAAAACACTAACGGTCACATAAGAAATGAATATTAGCAGAAACGTCATCAGACCAGATTTCACGGCATATTGTATCAGCCCTTTGTCCTAGCACAGAAGGAGTGCCAACTCTTGAATCGTCGTACGTGATGAGCGGAGAAGAGTCTAGCGGATAAAATGACGCGAGATGCATCGGGCACTACAGGGTCTCAAATACCGTGGATCGATGGCCGGCTTAAATGACTCCCTTAACAACTAGGACCAAAAGGGTGGTTAAATCTGTTAAATCCGCCGTTAAACCAGGTCTTGGAGGAGTCAGTCGATATTTTAACAAAAAATG